AAGTAGCGCCTTGAGTTAAATGAAATTTGGGGCGTTACAATTAGTGCACAAATTGAAGGTTAAGGTAAAGTCTGTTAAAAACTCAAAGGTTTGAGACCGCTACTACAATTTTTTCAATTTTTTTATCTATTCTAAAATTAAGCTCTGAGATGGGATTAATAACTCAAATGGTCATTGAATTTTATAAAAAGTTTTCACATGGTCACTGAATTTTAAAAGTTACCCAAGTCATCACTGAACTTTGCAAAAAGTTTACACGTGGTTGCTGAACCTTAAAAATCACTACATTCATCACTAAACTTTATAAAAAAAAAAAATCACATGGTCACTGAACTTTACAAAAGGTTTCCAAGTGGATCACTGAATTAGTGATCCTCTGGGAAGTTTTTTGCAAAGTTTAGTGATGAATGAGATGATTTTTAAAGTTCAGTGACCCGTTGAAACTTTTTGCAAAGTTCAGTGATCCCGTGTAAACCTTTTGTAAAATTCAGTGATGATTTGAATGATTTTTAAAGATCAGTGACCATTTGAGTTATTAACCCCTCTAAGATGAGAAGAATTTTTAAATGCAATCAAGTAGAAATCCATGAAAATTTGTCGCAATATATTTCATATCAATTAATCGAAAGCTTTACATTATCACGGATCACAAAATTGAAAATCATGAGGGAAAAAGGGAAAAAAAAAAAATGAGGAAGAAGAAGAAGAAGAAGAAGAGGAGGAGGAGAAGAAGGAATTAAAGATCATTGGTTTAGTTCTTGACCCGGTTGGGTAATTTCTTGATCCTCTCTATTAATCTGTTGATCCGTGTTTTCTGTTATTCTTTGATCAAAACGATAAGTGCTTTGAGTTTTTGGCTTCTGATCCATCTCTTTTTCTTCATTCTGATCACTCTTTCCAAAAAACTTTGTTGGTAGTGAACGTAGGGGTTGCCAAGAAAGTTGGCTTCTCATCACCGGCCATTATCACCACTATTTTCTCTTCCAAAACTGGCAGAGGCCGCTTGACGGCACCTCCGCCGTTTTTGTCATCACCAGCCTCCATATCTCCTTCACCACCCTGTCCCTCTGCAGTGTTCATTCGGCCTGAGAGCTTCCAGTAAGAGCAAGCCAAGACCCAGAGAGCAAATGCTATTAGTCCCAGCATGGTGGCGAGGCCGCCGAATAGGTAGGGTGCCGGAGAATGCCACGGTGAGTGTTGTATGGTGGCCACAGCCGGTGGAGGTGGAGAAAATGGTGGCTTTGGTGGTGGTGTTGTCATTGATGATGGAGTAGTTCGTAAAGTGCCGCCAGTTATCATTTTCTGTACTTTTTATTGTTGTGCCTAAACAGCAGGTGAAAATAGAAAGAAATGAGGAGAAAGTAGCGTTTATTTGGGATTGACAAATGGAGAGAAGATATATGTATTTTAAGAGAGTAAAGATGTGTCATTTATTCGTGTTAGTTTTGGGGGTGGGGCCGTCGATGTAGAGAAGGTCACATGCATACATTCAAATCTTGACAACGTGTCGTTTCATGGATAAATCAAGTTCATTTTTTTTGACCAAGGGGCGGGGGGTTAAAAATGATCACATGGATTTTCATTTAAATTTTGTATTCGGGTGACTTTACAGATAAAACAAGTTCATTCTTTTCAATTAAAGTTTGACACATGGAAGGAGGTTTGGGGTTTTAAAGAGGGTCACATTTATATTATTTTAAATCTCATCTTTAACATCTTCATTCAAGCATAAGTCATGTTCATTAATTTTATTCAAAGTCGAACAAATGCATAATTTTTCGACATTGATGACCATTTAGGTCTTTAGTTTGTATATCTGTATCATATCATGTCAGTCATCTCATATAAAAGTTAAACTGTTAGAAAGGAGCTACGTGTATTCATTTAAATCATGTTAGCCATTTCATACAAAAGTTAAGCTCTTAGAAAGGAGTTATATGTATTCATTTAAATCTTCTTCAATTGGAATTATATAATGTGAAGAGGAAAAGAAAGAAGAAGAATAAGAGCTAAATTCTTATTTGATGTGCGATTTGATCACTATTTCCCTAGTTATTCCTTTCTCTTTATGGAACCAAATCAATCTGGAACCAATCGATTCTACTTCGACTCAGTCCAATTATTTTTGTTGTTTAAAAATGTAAATTATAAATTATTGTATTCAATTTCACTTTTAATCTTTCATGCTTATTGCCTTAGGCGACCAAAGAAGTGATTATTTAAAATATATATAATTCATGTAAATTTATATGAATTAACTCATGGTTGATATTAGAGAGATTACAAAAATTAATTATGAACAACACAATTTTTCTAGCTTAGAAATTTTTTCATTTTGAACCCTTATCTTGGTTACCAAACAAGTCCAAAGTAACATCACATCCTAGTTACAGGGAAAACGCACTCACAATTTGAGTTTAACATCTATCATGAAAGAGACCACAATCATTAAGGTATGAATAAAGAATACAATTGTGAACTGTGGATAAAGTGAGAATCAATTATTTTTGCCACTTTTAGCTTATTATATCATAAATTGCTTTATGATTTGGTCTAATTATGTCTCCTATAAAATTACCAAACTATTATCCATTATGCAAACTTTCTTTTTATTACAATTTGCTAATATCAAATGTCTCACATATATGGCACTTTAGACTTTAGGTCTTGTGTATGTGTAGGAGCCATTTTATTAATGTAATAATTAACGTATTGTGTCCACGCAATATAGAAATAAATGAGTTGAGATGTGTTGTCTTTGATCGACTATTTTATTCTATCACTCAGATTTTGACACATCACTATATCACCTTAAAATAGCAAATAACAGCACGTTATTGCTATTTCTTATTATAATTTAATGTAATGAAGTATCAAAATCCAAATGGTGAGGCAACCAAGGGGACATTTATTTGAAACAACAAATCTCCACTCACAATAAAGTAAAATATTTTATGAATGAAACGAACGTTCATTTGATACGATAGAGTCAATTATTCTTGTTAGTCCACCAAAAAATAGCCTATGGGACTAGCTTCATTTGTGTACAACTAACTAAGCACATGAACTTATTCACGTCACGATATCAAGTTATCTATCACATAATTTTGACAAGCTTGCACACGTATTACCACCTTGTAAATATATTTCAACTTTATATGTTTGAATTTCACTTGCTGAATGAGGAAATGTGATTTTTCATATTTTAGTACCTTCACAACTAATACAAGAGAGAAAATTACGAGGATTTGACTAATAAGTCAAAATCTAGAATACTATAAACAACACACCGAACGAAGGTTAGATACAATTTCACCCTCAAATCTTACATTACTCAAACTAAAATGAGCACAAAATCTGAAATTAATTTTAATTAAAAGTAAGGCATCTAGCTTGGAATACATCGAATAGACAAAAGGAGACCTACTTGCAATTGTAGCATGTGGAAGCAAAGAATACAAGTAAGAATCTCAAACACATAACTTTTTTGCATACTCTTTAACCAAATTGCATTTTTATAGCTGAACTTTAATCAAGCCTTGTCTTATCATGGAGAATCCAACTCACTATAGTAATGTCAATTCTTAATAATTCCTTGCCTCTTGGAGAAAAAGGGTTGAATCATTTCCAATTTGATTGCTACAAGTCAATCTCAACTCACAATATTTCTAGTGATTCTTCACTTGATCATGAAAAAAAGTGGTTCCTATGTACCATACAATCTTCTTTTATTATGTCAGTTTTACAAATCAATAATTAGACAAGATTGTGTCTCGCTTGGTCATTTGTCATAAAACTTTGATCCAATTGATCATTTGCTAGCAAATTTTCTTTCACTTCCAAAGCGAGCTAAGTGGAGTTTGAGAGGGAGATGCACAATGTCAAGAATGGATTTGAGAGACGAGACGGAGAGAGAGGAGAAAATAGAACTACTAAGTAATAATGGAAAAAATAATATTTCATTCTACTTTCACCTAGATCTTTTTTTGGTGTCGAGTAATTGTGTAAACCAAATATATTATTTATATAAATATGCGGGGGTTGCTATTCTTTTATTTATTTTGTTAGTTAAATTAGTGTTACTTTCAAAATAACTAACAAATTTTGATCAATAAAAATATTTATTTACTTAAATGCAAACTTACTAATTCTACAAGCTTGGTGGATAAAGATACTAGCTCAAAAAATATTATTTATATGTGAACTGTGAAAGAGAAATTTCATTTTAATTTGGACATAACAATGTCATTTCATGTTTTATATACGAAAGAAATGCATATTTGGGCGTCAACGAGCCTAGTAAAAAATGAGGTTCGGGATAGGCTCGAGTAAAAATGGTTTGAAGTTTTTTTGGTTCGAGCCGAGTCGACTCACGATTTTTTTAATCTTTTTCTAGGTAGGCAGCACGAAGGTAGCATGGTAGCAGCCTTTTTTAATTTTTTTAAAGCCTGCAAAGGGGGTTTTATTTTTATTATTATTTTTTAAGGTTCGGCTCGTCAAGGGCCGAAAATAGCTAGTGACACGAGCCGGCCCAGGCTCGAGATTTTTTCAGGACGAGCCACTCGAGCCGATGAGAAAAATTGACACCCCCATGCATATGCAGCTCATTTTAAGTTTTGTATCTCCAAGTATTGGAGTAGTAAAATTAATAGATTGCTTAATAAAGATTTTGATAAAAGTTTTAGTAGATTTTTATAAAAATTGTAAGTGTATGGGCCACATTCAAGTAATAAAGTGGACCAATGAGTCAAAATTGTTGATCTCTCGAAAAATGTTTACTTTCGATTACACTACTCTAGTCAAATTAATTCTAACCATAAAGAACAAACATAAAACAAAATTTTGATTTGAAAATAAGGAAAAAATAACTAAAACTCTACAAAATAAGAGAATATAAAAACTTTGGAATTTCGGAACATAAAGTGGTTGGGATATATAATTTCACTTATCTATCGCTTAATTAATCCTCCATTAGCAAATTAACAAATTAATCATTCACGATGTTAGATCCAAATTTTTGATTTTAGCTAATTACCTCTTTCAAGTGAAATTATCCATAATTGATTTGTTTAACCAATACATTCAATTTTTGTGAAAATAGTTCAACGGACCACTTAGAATTAGGGGTATATCCTTATCCCCTACAAGAATTTAAGGTGTTTACTATTGATCTAAAATGCATAATTTTTTCTCGAATATTGCTCAAATAACTTAACACAATCATTTAATGACCAAATAAATGAAAGACGCTCAATACAATAATAAATACAAATGAAAATGAGCGCTTTAATATTAAAAGCAAATATTGATATTAATAAAATTAGATTAAACTACATCAATTATCACAACACAAAGAACTTACTCACTTTATACATAAGATAAAAATGGAAAGAAGATTTGGAAATACATTTCAAGTTTTTAGAGAGAATAATGGGTAAAATACAATACAAAATGTAAATCATTCTCTTAGTTGGATTCTTGAAAGAGTTGCTTGGTATTGATCTTGTCCCAAAATCTTTCCTTGACTTTCTTCTCCTCATTTGTGCCTTCTTGTTGGCCTTTTTCTCCCCAAAATGTATATGTAAAATGAGAGAAAGAAGAATAGATGAAGAATGGACGTAATGACCTAATTTTTGCCCTTTTAAAAACCCAAAAACCTGCCCAAGATATTATAAAAGGGTCCCCGAACTTTTCGCGAAATATCAAAACAGGGGTAAATTTTTTAGTCCCCGCACAGTGGCATGCGAGCCGTATAAACCGGCGTGCATGTGCGAGCCTTGCCCTTTTTTTGGGACTTTGGTTCTCTCATATTTGTTCATCAGATCCATCAACTTTGTTTTAGTCCATTTTTGGACCTTGAATTTTGAATTTCATTTCAATTATGCCTTTCAAAAATTGCATCCATAGTTCCTCAACTTTTGGCATTTGTGCACTTTGGTTCCCAAATTCACTTCTTTTTTTTCGCTTTTGGTCATTTTTCTCTTCCTTTTGCCTTGTTCTATTTCCATTTGGAGTTTTAATCTATAAAAGCAAGAATTACATAATTATTAGTAGAAATCCTCTCATTTAGTAAATATTAAGCTTATTTTGGCATCCATTAAGTGTGTGAAAACACACTTATCAATCACCGTCCCATAAATTTTTTTCGAGTAATAGAATGTAAATCCTTGCAAAGTGACAATAACTAACAAAGTAGGCTCATGACATATGGCAGGATGACCTGAACTACAAACTTTATAAGAACCTCCAGTCGAGCGAACTCTGCTTCCACACTTTCATCCTCTTTCGAAACCTGTCCT